AATTTTTTTTTTTTTTTTTTTTGGACTTTCTTTATTAACAATATTATGATGCTGAAGAAACAATTGTTTGACCAGTACACCTCTGTTATACTTTGTTTAATTGGTCTAGACAGAAGCTTAATTTAAATAAGTAAACATAATTCTAAAAATTCATACACTAATTTAAAAATAAATCTAATACCTAATGGATTTAAAAGGCTATTCAATTTTAAAAAATATTTAATAGGTATGTGTTTTATAGGTTCACTAAATTTTGATTGTGTTTAATTAATTTCTAAATTTTTAATTTTGTGATAAATTATTTTTTTAAAAAAATTAAAGTAACTATGAGAAATAAAATTCAATTTCGTGTAATAGATTTTAAAAAGGGTGAAAGACATAAATTTGAATATTTATAAACTTATCACATACTATGAAAATTTAGGAATTTATAAACGGATTTTTAAAGTTTAAATTAGAAGTTAAAATTCTTTCTAATAGTTTTTAAAACCCAGAGACTTATTAAATGGAATAGATTTTTTTACCTCTTAAATTATTATTAATAAAAAAAAGTTAAATTAAAAAAATCTAAATCTAAATTTTAAAAAATTAGAAAAAAAAAATAAATATATATATATATATTAGTTATCATTAAAAATTTGTTCATGGGGATGATTCATTAATAAATTTCATTTTCAACTTTGTATTTTGTATTTATCTTAATTAGTTGATAAAAAATTACCTACCCTCAAACCAATGTTATTTGAGGAGAGCAACGAGACGAGACGACGCCAAGATAGAAATTCACTCCCCATTTTCTTCTGGGAGGACTATTTTGTCTACGTTTCCATTCTATATATTCTTTATTTTAAAACCAATAAATTCAAGCATTTTATTTTATTTTAAGGTTTTTTTCAGTATAATTTAAAAGTAATAAATATATGGAATTACTTATTAACTTGAACTGACATTTTTAATATACCTCTAATCTTTAGAAATAGTTAATACATCATAGTTTTAAATTTTAAATCTAATAAGAATTGCATCTAATATATAAAATAATTTTAATCTTTAGAAATGAGAGTGAAATCCTAAATTGTAAGTTTGTAAATTTTTAAAAAAAAATGTTGAATAGATTAACAATTTATGAAAATGAAAATATAATAACTTATGAAACACAAAATTGAATTTTAAAAAAATATTATACATTATTAAAAGTCTGGGCTTAAATTATTAAAACCAAATTATTATAGCATTCCAAATCACTGAAGTGGTGAAGAAAATTAAGAAATTAAGAGTAAAGTGAAGCCAGTTAGGGGGAGGGGGACACGGACCCAAATATGAACAGGTTATTAATCATATATATATTAAAAACAAGCGACATTGAGACATTTCAAAGAGCACACACTTGAAGAAGCAAATGAAGAAGTATTAAAAAAAGAAAAAAAAAAGCACAATTAAGGAGAGATTTTCATATATAATCGGGAACTGACCTGAAATGGAGATGGCATAGGTGATGAAGATTTGTATTAGTTTTTCAGGCCAATTCTGGACCGGTGGGGAGCGGCTCATAACCATCGTGGAACTCGCGTGTGGCCTTGCAGTTTGAAACAGGAATGCATTTCAGCACCATTGCTATTGGCAGACTCATAGCTCCGATTACGATGCTGGCTGCCCATAACTTCCAGCTTAATCCCACTGTTTCTGCGAATGTCCCAAGGAATTCAACTATTATGATCTGGAAACCCACTGTGGATGCCATCACTCCCATGAACACCCAACTACCAAATATCCCTCCGAAAACGTTTATCTGCTCCATGTCACGGCTGTTTATTTCGTTAAACACCTGTCAAGTTCGGCACCACCGATGTTATGCACCGTCAGTGCGAGTGAAAAATGTTGGTTAAATTACAAATTTAGTACTCGTTACCTGGCAAAACACGAACGTGTTGAAAATGAATGTGTCGAGAACGATACTCGAATCAGGACCGGTGAGATCCAACAAGCGCTTTCCTTCGAATTTCAAGATTAATAAAACAGTGATTTGATAGATACTCTGACCGATGATGTTCCTCCACATAATCCCAGTGATGATACTAACGTTTCTTCCTATTGGTTTTCGTTTCATCAGCCCTTCATTGGGAGGCTCAGTGGCCAATGCCAGAGCTCCAAGTGTGTCCATTATTAAGTTCACCCATAGCATTTGAACAGCGGTGAGAGGAGCAGAACCTGAAACAGTCCATCACTCTCAAAAACAGTCCACTATCACGATTTGAGATAGAGAATGAACAGACCTGACACGCATGCGGATATGAAATTGAGCATGAGAGCGACTACGTTGACTGTAAGCTGGAACTGTACGAATTTCTGAATGTTGATGTAAACTGCACGTCCCCATCTTGCAACATTCACAATGGTTGTGAAATTATCATCCATTATGACTACGTCGGCGTTTTCTTTGGCAACCTGTATGCATTTTGCAGCAAACAAAAGGGTTAATTATTAGGATCATCGCTTGTAAGTGTATGATTTGAAAGCAAACCTCCGTTCCTGCAATACCCATGGCCAATCCAATGTCGGCCTCGTGCAAGGCAGGGGCATCATTAGTGCCATCGCCTGTGACAGCCACCACTTCTTTGAACGTTCTCCTTAGCTGCCCGACCAAGGTGTGCTTGTCAAGAGGAGATGAACGAGCCATCACCTAGAGATACGAAAAAACAAACAAATAAGAACCAAACACAAAGCGATAACATGTCTGGTTTTTATCAGGTTTCGTTTATAATATATATAAAACCTGGAGTTTTGGTATTAACTTCTCCATTTCATCTTGGCTTTTGTTGCGGAATTCTGGCCCTTCTATGGCTAAACCACCTGCTGTCAAGATACCACACTCTTTGGCTATGGCTTTAGCGGTATTGATGTTATCCCCAGTTACCATTCTTACGGTAATTCCAGCAGCCAAACAAGCCTGAACTGCTTCCTTTACACCAGGACGTACAGGATCTTTAATGCCAACAACAGCTATTAAAGTAAAATCATCATCTGGGATTCTATCTGGTGCTGAAGAAACTTCTGTTATATCCTTGTAAGCGATGCATAGAGTTCTGAGAGCGTCGTTGGCGAAGCTATTGATGATATTCGAGATGTTTGTTCGTTTTTTGTCTGAAAGAAGCAATGGTTCTCCATTAGAACTGAGAACCTTGTCACACATGGATAAAATGATTTCTGATGCTCCTTTGCAGAATGCTCGAAAGCCACCACCGGGAAGAGCCACAAGAACAGACATTTTCTTTCTATTTGAATTGAATGGCTCAACTTTGACTATCTTATAATCATCATTTAATGATCCAAAAGCACCACCTAAAAGCAAGCCAAATTCTAGCAATGCAATCTCAGTTGGAGTACCTAAAATGGTGTTCCTCCCATCTTTGCCTTTGACTACCTCTGAGCTGGTATTTTGAAATATAGATTGTATAAGGAGCTTGTATACTGTTTGATTTACGGAGGATTTCAATGCAATTTCGTCATTGGAATTTTTTATTGTCCTCGTTTCATCACAAATCCACATTTTGTCGACGACCATATGGTTCGTTGTTAATGTACCTGTTTTATCGGTGCAAATGCAGGTTGCAGAACCCATAGTTTCACACGCGGAGAGATGCCTCACAAGTGCCTTATCATTCATCAACCTTTTCATGGCAAAGGCAAGACTTAGTGTCACGGCTAGAGGCAATCCTTCTGGAACTGCAACAACAATTATAATGACAGCAATGGCGAAGTAATTCAGAAGCGTCGATGCATCTTTGGATGTCCAGTGCCCAATCTCATTATGTAATGTTTTATACACAATAAATCTTGAGATCAGAACTATAAACGTTAAGACCGCAAAAACCAAGCCGACCTTTCCAATAATTGTCGCAACCCCGTTAAGTTTTACCTGAAGTGGCGTTTCGTCATCTCCTCCTTCACTCAAAGTGACCATCAATCTTCCCCATTCAGTTCTCATACCAACAGAGGCTACTAGCATCTTACCAGACCCGTCCTGAACTTTCGTCCCTGCTAGAAGGAAAGGCCTATTATCATCTACATTTACAGGTTCACTTTCACCTGACAAGCTTGATTCGTCTATTGATAAGCTGTAGCCTGACACCAAAATGCCATCAGCAGGAACTTGATCTCCAATAGATAAATGAACAATGTCTCCAACCACCAAATCATAAATAGAAACCTTCTGTCTGCAACCATCTCTAGTAACTTGAATAATAATATTTTTCTTCTGTTTTTCCAAGTCCTTAAATTGCAAGGACTGATTATAGTCACTGACTGCGGTTACTATCACGACGAGAAAGATACTCATTATTATTCCAAGTCCATCGTACATGCCTTTAGGCCAACCTTCAGTTGCATTTCCAACGCCAATGGAAACAACGGCAGAAACCAAGAGAATGACGAGAGTCAAATCATGCAGGGCTTCCCACACAAACGTCCAAAACCCTCTTGAAGGTTTCTCAACGTAACGGTTGATCCCGTATGTGCTCTGCCTTGAACTTACTTCACTTGTAGCAATTCCATCTTTCAGAGAAACATTTAATTCTCTTGCCAATCCCCCAATGCCCCCGAAATGTAACAAACTCTTGGTATTGTGGATTTGAACCATGGATGCCAATACATCAGGTTCAACTCCAAAACCAGCTTCCCTTACTTCTGTGGAGAGCTTGTATTCACCTTGCTTCCCGGCTGGTACATAGCAATTAAAGAATATATAAGTATAAATATATAATTTTGAAACTGCGAGTAGACATGCAATGAATATTAGATACGGTAATAGGGAATTAGAAGACATACCATCAATAAAATGCAATGCTGCTTTTTGTACGTATAGAGCTACTCGTATCTTTTCCTGACAGCATACAGGGAAAAGCAGGAAAAGCAAGAAGTTTTAACTTAAATTTTTCGGCAATTGGTTGGACTAAAAAAAAGTGTCTTAATCAGTTGCCTTTCTGCTCTTTATTCTCAAATATTTCATATATTAACACCGATAGACAATGATTATGATCCTATTGATATGTGAAGGACTAGAAATGGATCTCCAACTATAAGTTATGCTAAAATAAACATGCAATCTACATATATTTACAAAAGAAAAAACAATTTAGAGATTTGAGGGTCATCCATCCATAAACTTTCAGATAATGAAATTATGAACTTTATTTTATACTTCGAGGCAGAGCACAGAGACAGTGAGATTATTTAAGACTGGGATTCACATGGCAATAGTAAAAAGAATAATACAGGCTATTAAAAGTTTTATCTTTTTGGTTACATAAGCATGAAATGCTTAAGCACTTGATTGCTATTCTTTTAAATATTCACTTAAGAATACTACTAACTTAAAACTCAGTACCATACTCCTAATCACTCTCCAAGGCCATCAATCGATGCAACTCTAAAGCCTATGCAAGGGTACGTAGTTTTATGAGAGACTGAAATTATATCAAAAGGTCATCTCAAGCTAGTTATTTTCGCGACTTCCCTGATCTAGTTTCCATTTTTTGTTACTGAAATAGTTCTTTTATGAGCCCGGACACATAGGACACGAGTGGGCATGAATATCTGTTAGAAGCTATAATGGGAGAAGGATAAGTAATCTGATTATGTCTTAAGCTTCTAAATGAATATGAAACCTGCTTCTAGCTTTTAGTATAATGAACTTAAAAACAAGTGGCTGTATCCATTGACCATGTAAAAGAAATGTAATCATGACTGCATTATACAATAATGATGGTGATGATGCAAAGGAGGAAGACTTTATATCTTGCACTACGTACGCATACAAATAGACTAAAGAAGAAATTGTGTCCACGTAGGGGGTGGGGTGCAAACTTAAGCTAGACATAGACATTGTTGGACATGCACGACATGATAAGAGTGAAAATGATGTTGATAGGACAGTTCGTCTTGATCCTATTGATAAAAGAGATGACAAGAAACAGAGAAATTTCTAAGAAACTTCCCAAAATTTATGAACTTCATGATGAAGATATGTTCTGTCTTGACCGAATTAAATTACATTATATTGATAAGTTTAAAGTTGAAAAGTATTAATAATAAAATTTTCAATGGATTATTATACTAAATAGGAAAAGAACAGAACCTATAGAAATTTAATCATAACCCCTTCCTCAATAATTAATTAGAACACCACTTATTCAAAAACCTTAAAACTTGCCAATATCTTGGCGGCTAAGGTATTCATGAGGTAGTAGGTTCAACTTTTCATCCCATATCTCTAGTACTGTAGAAAAGTAGTTAAGAGTTTGTATTTAATTAAATTATTTAATATATTCTCATTAGAGCGTTCCCCATTCTTTCTCTCCCCGTTCAGAGATAGATTAATTAACTTACCAAGAAATTATGGAGAAACTACTCACCCTGATCTTTCTGATTCCTCCCTACAACTAAGTCTGCGAAACAGAAACTATCCGGTCTTGATTTTTAATACCGTTTTCAGTGGATAAATTCTACGTGATTGTTTTTGTTGAAGCTCAAATCTTCTTTCTAAAGAAAGCCGGATGAAATATACAACTGTTTTCAAGTTTGATTTTCGAGTCCTCATTTCTAGAGAGCTAAGAGCTAACAGAACATAGAGCAAGAACTAAAGCTTAAGAATGCAAATTCATAGTCAGGAAGCCTCTGGAGCAGGTTCTTAATCTGAACGACTTCCTGTACTGGTCCCTGCAAACAATTTTTCCAATACGCTTCGTCCCTTTTTTTCCTAAACATTATGTACTAATTTGAGTAATGTTTTATTCCGCAAGTCTTCATAATTTGGTTACTGTGAACAAGAATTTTGAAATCCGCGGTACCGGGCTTCATTTACAAGCCAATATGAGGTTGACCTGACTCTTTCACTTTTCTCCAATTTGACTCTTATTATTCGTTCAGAATTGGCCGCCTATCCCGCGTGGAGAAATAACTCCATCCTTTTAACTTCGTAGAAAATAACTTGAGCGTTTCCTTCAACGACTTCTAATTCGTAGACCACAACAGATATAGCTAAACATAAAAGCAAGATCAATTTCTTCTTCTACGGTAACGCTTAAAATCGATATCAAAATCCAATGACAAAAGCGGATTAGAAAAGAAAACTAATATCAATCTTTTAGGTATTATTATGTAATCAACTATGTAAACTGATTAACGAAACCTTCTCGAACAGATACCGCAGAGAAAACTTACAAAAATGCAAGATCTCACGAAATAAAATATAATAAGAAAAAAAAAAACGATGGCGCAAATAGGAATCAATTAGATCGGAAACGATTAAACGTAAATGCAAATGAAAACCTGGAGTTTCCTGCGCTTTTCCTCAGCCTGAGCTCGCTTATCGAGATCAGCAACCATGCGAAACCTCCGGCGGCGATTCTTGACAATAGAGACGGCGGATCGCCATCGCATTTGAGCCTCCTCGGACGGACTCTTCGGCTCGAGCTCGAAGTTCTTTCTCAAGTAATTCTCCATCGTCTCACTCATTGTGAACAATTCTTTCCCCCTGCAGCTTGAGCCAATCCGTTCGCGAAGAGGAAGAAGAAGAAAAGTTTGGTGATGACAGGAAGAAGAATTCAAACAGCTCCGTAGAAGGCGGGAAAGAGAGAGAGAAAATGAGATGCACGAACACCTGACGAGGCCATCGGGGGATAGAACAGAATGATTTGCATTGTTTTCGTATTCCCGCTTGCTATTTATACCGCGTCATAGAATAACTATATTTTATTCAATCCCCAACTATATCATCAATTCAACCAATTTTGTATAATTCCATTTTTACCCGACAACGACCACCGTTTCAAGGGTATTTCAGTCTTTTTACAACTTATTGGGTTTGTTTTTTTTACGTGCAGATCAAACCATCAACTTTTGAGATAATAATAATTGTTTTAGCTCGTTACCTATCCACGCCAACCTCACAGATCACGATTTTAAAATGAGTCCACAAATGAAAAGTTTTCACATACTTATAAAGAATGTTTCGTTCCATTCCTCAACCAATGTAAGATCTAACAATTCATATCTCTTTGGAGTTAATGTCCTTATGGCATCGGCCAGTGTCTACCTCTTATATCATCTATAACAATCAAAGTCCATCACTAATAGATACTCTCCCCTTTAAAAAAAAACTATTTTTAATATTATTTTTTTTATTTAGAATTTAACTCTAAATTCAAATATTTGTTTTAAATAAAAATAATAATTAAATAATTATCACTGACAAATTTTTACATATTTTTTTAAAACAGATTGGCATATTGTGTGCTCTTTTAGATTTGGCATTATGGTGTGTGGAATTTATTAATTTTTTAAACATTTTTATTAGATTTAAATTTTACATTAAAATAAAATTTTAATTGGTAAACTTTAAATTTTATACGTTATTAAGTCTCGATGTTGTATTTTATATGTTATTAATTTATATTTGACTTCATAAATATTTTTTTTAGTGTTGGTGGTCCCCACATCATTTCTCAAATAATGCTAACGTATCTGAATATCTAAATTTTTATTATTCCATTTGGATTGAAAAATTATAAATTAAATTATTCTATTTTTTTTTTAATAATAATCTTGAGTAAAATAGATTTAATGTTTAAATTTTAAATCTAAAATTATAATATTACATTTTTTTTACTGAACTTTGTATTTTATGTATAAAAAATATTCTTAAAAATTAGTATTTTATTTCAAAAATATTTTTAAACTTAGTATTTAAAAACACTTCCAACTTTTAAAAAAATTATTAATATTCTTTAGAAAAAATTCTTTTTAAATACTCTAACCATTAATAAAATATTTAAAAAAAAATCTATAAAATTTAAAAACAAAATTAACACCTTTAACTTAAAAAAAAAAAAAAAAAAAATCATACAATCTATTGTGCGGATATTTTTATAGTTAAAAGGGTATTTTTTAAAAAGTTTTCTAAATAAAAAAAATGATATTTTTTAAGCATTTTTTTAAAGTATAAAGGGATAGTATGTTCCAAGGGTTAAGTTGTTTGCCTATTACAACAGTACGTGAGCTGGGTTTAGAACATCGTGAGACAGTTCGGTCCATATTCAGTGTGAGCGTTAGAGCATTGAGAGGACCTATCCCTAGTACAAGAGGATCGGGAAAGACACACCTCTGGTGTACCAGTTATCGTGCTCACAGTAAATGTTGGATAACCAAGTAGTGTTTTTAAACAAAATATTAACATTTTTCATCTAAAACTAACCGTAAGTAAGGTACTTTTAAACTTTTTTGAAAGTTCAAGAGTATTTTTTAACTTTTATCAAACGTTCAAGGGTATTATTGGAATTTTTGAAAAATCGAGAATACAAATTTTATGAGTATTTTTATTAATTTAACATTTTTTTTAAAAAGAAAAAAAAAAATTGTGATGGCTACACTAGGGTAATGTTGTGTCTACCATGATGTTCCCTACGAGTTGACAAGTCTTCAACAAACAACTACCAACTACTTTGGTATTTTTGTAGCATTATTTGCATTAATTTTTATGTCACAAACTATACATTACATTACATTGCAACCATAACTTAATGTCACATTATCTAATGAAACCCAATTTTTGGTCACTATTCATAAGTACAATCTTTATGTCATAGATTCATTCAATAATGTATTAAATTCTAACTCTTCAATTATTCTAAATATTATTACTCATTTTTTAAATAATATATTTGAGTTTTTTTTTTTTTTTTTTTAAGTTTTATGATTTTAAAATGTTTATTTTTATTTTTTTTAAAATACTTTATCGAAAAAATTTATAATCCATTTTAAAATATTTCTATTTAATGGGATCGACCCATGGCCCAGATAGTTAGAATGTTTCCGAATGCTTCTTTTCTTTTAGTCCTATAAATTCCGACCGACATAATAAATTCACTTAAAAGTCAAAAGACCGATACAAATAGATAGAAAGTCAACGTTTTTTTCGATTATGAGCCAAAAGAAAGATTTCTGTGTAAGATTTACATTGGCAAGAGAATTACATTGCACAAGCCAAAGCTACATGTCAATCCATGTCACTCCTCCGGTCTTCACGACCTCTCTCCCATTTTCATACACGTCGGGAGACGTTGCGGGACGAAGAATGTTAGCTCTAAGAGACAACGACAAGAGATTTCTTGCTATCGAGCACTTGGTTCACAGGCTCGATCTCGAGACTTCGACATGCTTATGATTTTTGTTCATATTGAAGAATGTAAAAGGACGATCTTACACGATGAGATGAAGAGGAAGCTAATTCCGGACTCTGCACGTCGGTCGTCGGTCCGACCGTGCTCACATTACAATCCAATGGCTCCATGACCAGAAGAGGACCTGAAATTGATACACATTTCTCACAAGCTGCAGGAAATGATGCTCAGAATATCAAAAGGATCAAGAAAAAAGGGCCTATTAATGAGTGGTCGCCTCAGTAGCTCTGTTTCTTGGGCTCCTGCTTGCCCTCCATGGGCTTTCTTCCTCATCAATGAGTACCCACATATATTTGTTAAAAGGAGTACGAGTTGAAAGAGGTCGATACTCGTTCAAGTGTAAAATTTTTCGATCCAACTCGAGCAAACTATTAAATAAAATGAAAGGGATCAGAGGTCCGTCGATCAAAGACCCGTCTCCCTACAACCGTTTGTTATAGAAAACGTCTTTACGAAAAGAAGATATTATTATTTAATTTAAACGTGTAAGATCAAAATAGGGTGTAAAAGAGCGGAAACTCATTCAAGCGTCTGGAGGAGAATTAATAGTTTTTTTTTTCGTAGGGTTAAATATATAACGGTACTATATTAGCATGTAAACCATAAGAGTGTTCATATGATTTGAGAACTCAACCAATCATGATTATCCAACTAAATCCATAAAAATTAGGTTGAGTTAGATTTTATTCCAATTTGGGTTGGGTTGGATTTTCTGAAAATAGAAGAATTCAAGTTAGTTTGCAGGTTGACATTTTTCTATCGGGTTAACTCCCCAACCCAACCTGACTTTTAAGATTATTATGAAAACTAAGAAGTAGGTCGACATTTTTTTGTCGGGTCAACTCCCCAACCCAACCCGACTTTTAAGATTATTATGAAAACTAGGAAGTAGGTCGACATTTTTTTGTCGGGTCAACTCCCCAACCCAACTCGACTTTTAAGATTATTATGAAAACTAAGAAGCAGGTCGACATTTTTTTGTCGGGTCAACTCCCCAACCCAACTCGACTTTTAAGATTATTATGAAAACTAAGAAGCAGGTCGACATTTTTTTGTCGGGTCAACTCCCCAACCCAACCCGACTTTTAAGATTATTATGAAAACTAAGAAGCAGGTCGACATTTTTTTGTCGGGTCAACTCCCCCACCCAACTCGACTTTTAAGATTATTATGAAAATTAAGAAGTAAGTTGACATTCTTTTTGTTAGGTCAACTCTCCAATCCAACCGGACTTTTAAGATTATTATGAAAACTGACTTTTATAATAAAAATTCTCTCCTGTATGAGATTTTAGTTATTTGGTGTAATTATAGAAAGCTATAATAATTTAAACCATTAAAAAAAAAAAACTTAGACCACAAAAATTGAGTTGAGTGGTAAAAATTTAAAAATTTTAACCAATTCTAAGAGGCAAGGAAGTTTAGTAATTAATAATTAATGGATAAATTTCCCTCCAAATATTTTTTTAACCACAGTAAAAAGAGGCAAAAACCCTCCAAATTTCGGCGCCAGTTTTAGGAAAACAAGTGGGAAAATTTGGAAGTCTACCCACAGTTTCTCCCCAAACCCTCCTCTACTTTTACGATCTTCTCCTTCACACCGCTAGATGCTCACAAGCTCTCTCTTCTTCTTCTTCATCTTGTTCATCTTATATCTCAATTCGGCTTCTTTCTACTGTTTCTTCTTTTCGATTCAGCTTCCTCTCTCCTTCCTTCCTGTATGGCGCGAGGTAGAAAGAGGCGGCGGCCGGAGACTGTTGCGGAGCGTGAAATTACTGAAATCAAGGAAGGGCGTGGCGATGGAGGGACTGAAGTTGGAGGCGTTGATAATGGAATTTTGGGCGACGGGGAAAACGAGGTGCAATGGGGGACGAAGAGAGAAGAGGAGGATGAATTGGTTACAGAAGGTGAAGATGGAAAAACTCTGCGGCGAACTGATGGGGAGGACAATGGCGAGGAGGAGAAGGGTTTTAATGGTGGGGAAGATGGTAGATTGGAATGTGGGGTTTCTATCACGAGTCCGACTAGGAGTTTGAGGAAGAAGGCGAGAGTTTCGTACAACGATGAGGTTTACGAGTTTGACGAGTCTGATGATGATGATAAGATTCCTTTCAAGAATTCTGGGCGAAGGGGTAGGAAGAAGAAGGTATTTTCTTCGAATCAGAATGTATCTGACAAGGAAGAGCAACGGAGTCCTATGGAAGAAGATGATAAGGAGGAGATTCCTTTCAGGAAGCCTGGGCGAAGGGGTAGGAAAAAGAAGGGATTTTCTTCGAATCGGAATGTATCTGACAAGGAAGACCAACGGAGTCCTGTGGAAGAAGATGGTGAAGAGGAGATTCCTCTCAAGAAGCCTGGGCGAAGGGGTAGGAAAAAGAAGGTATTTTCTTCGAATCGGAATGTATTTGAGGAAGAAGAGCAACGGAGTCCTGTGGA